AGTTTGGTACATGCTGGCACATTTGAAGAAACTTGCTGACCGCTCCATCTATCTCCCCAAAGCACATGAGGACAACTGCTGTTCCACCTGATTTATTGCTGTTTTGATGATGAATAAAAGGCTTCTTGCTTGTTACACTGTGTCATCTCATTCAATTTGTGTCCTAACATTTTCGTATATTTCTAATCTAGGCATCTTGTTTTTTAGGGCCCTTCTTGTTTTTTTTTCGTCCCTCTCGCATTAGATTTAGTGTCTCCAAAGGACGTCATCCATAAAATTTACTTGGTGTGGCCTAATAGCTGAACTGTTTCTCACATAGATAGACAGAGTATTAAACATCTGTGGCGGCATTAAAATACAGGAAGTTTTGTACAGAGAAAAAAAGAACATGTAACAATCAGCTACTTAACATGTCTTAAGGAAGATACTGAGAGATAATCATGTCATGCGGGATCCTTCAAGAACTTCGTACCGTGTCTTTGCCGGGGAAGAAGATGTCTCGTTCCCATGGTATCATGTTTCTTGTACAAATGTCCAACAAGATTTTCTTGGATCGGAAGTCCAGACATTCAGGTGATATGTGTGAGCAAACTGGGTTACAAGCGGCCATTATTTGTCTTAACTGAGAACTGATAAATGCTTAGAAAAATACAAAATAGTAACTCCAATATTCAGCATAGAAATTGAAAGACTAAAAGAGTATAATGGTGAATCTAGCGGTTAGCAATGAAAAATCAAATTTAACATTTGAGAAATGCATAAGATGAGGGCATTTGGTGGAACTTTTAAACTAATACCGACAAAACTAAACGCTCAGAAGAAAATAATCCATCTAGCTACGAAAGCAGCGCTATGAAACTGCTATTTTAGTTAAAACAGTAAATAATTAGTTTATTTTTCAGTAATACAAAAAAAGACAATATTGTCCACAAGTCCACGCAGCTGGCTAGTAACATCGTCTTGAATACATCGAGGCCTGATTTAACCGTTATCCTCGTTTCCTACGCAAATCCACGCCGATACGTTAAACCCCTTTCACGGTCTCACAACACACAGAGCGGCCCAGACAATGACAGGGGTGTTTACGGTAGTCTAGGATAAACCTAGCGACACATTTCGGCAGCTGGACATTCTCCCCGCTTGTAGAAGCAGAGATTTACGTTGTTAGAGGATTAGAGATGAAAGCAGGAGGGTTCTTCGCTTTGTGCAGACGGGGCTCATCTTTCAACACATCACAAGTAATACACATCCACCTGCACTGTTAAAACACTACTCAACTCAACAGCCGCTTTCTTTCAGACACCTAACTACAAAAATAAATTTCTTCAAATTCCAAACACATTCGAAAGATTATTTTTTGTCTCCATTCATATATTCAGTTTTTTATGTCCTCAAATGCATCCACAAATGCTCAGATGCTTCCGAATTGATAGGAAATATCTTATTTATACATTTTGCTACATTCGTAACGTGTGCAATTTTAGCCCCCAAAATAACTTATCTTTCAAATAGCTCTGTTAGGATTTAATTTAACATTTTAATGTCTTGGGGTGGTGGGACTACGGCGCACAGATATGTCAACTTTGTATATTTGATGTTAATTATACCTTTTTTGTTGTGTGGCGCTGTTGATATAAGTTGTTAACTTGAGTGCAGCGCCACACTGTCCTTGTTATGTCTTTTATGTTTTGATGAATAAAAAAAAACTCGTAGTGAGTCAGAAGATCCTAAAATCTTTATCATCCAGCCTTTTTGTCGGTCAAGGGCAGCAGAAAAGGGTCGACGGCCTCATAAATTCTACGCCTAGGCTGGTATTATATCTGGGGGATGGGCTTTATCACAAGGTTTGTCGTTTAACGACCAGAAAAGAATGTGTTTGTCTGTTAAAAATTACAGTTATCACTGCATGTCTGTTACTGCAGTCTGAAGTTAGCCCAAGGACGTTAATAAAACTGTTCTATGACCTCTAGTAACCTTACGCTAAAAAGCAGTTACTCAAGCAACTGGATATGATTCTTGCTTTTTGGCGTATCGTATTACCTGGATGTCTAACCTTCACCGACGTCTCTAGTAACCTTGCTTCTTGAAAATGTTATTCAGATTAAATATTACATTATGATCCTATTTTTAAAAGCAGCTATGAAGCAGCTATGACTCAATCATGGTACAAGCGGTTTTGATTGATCAGTGGGAACATCACATATACACAGCCACCATCACACATCACTGTATCAAAGTAAACAAAAAACATTAAATCAGAGCCTTTTCTTGTCTCCTCTCTTCATAGTTATCTGCCATCCACCTTCCGGCATGGCGGCAGACATCTTTGCCCATTTTCGGCATGTTTACCACTGTCAGAAGGCAACAATTTTTTTTTTCAAAATCAGCCGAAAATTAATGCGCGCGCTGATGTCATCCATAGATATTACTTGCTGTGGCCTAAATCGGCCCGGTCCCATGGAACAGGAAGCAAGCTCCCTTTCCTACCTTCAGCGGAGTGAAAACATCTTGGACGTCTGATGAAGCGAAAAATTGAAGCCCCAGTGATGGTGGTCTATAATGAAAAATAATGACATGCTCTGGTTATATCGTGTTTTGTTATGTCAATAACGATTTCTTTTTTTCTGAAAGAGTGATATTTTCGTTCATAAAATTGAGATACTCTGTCACGAAAATCTTTCGTTGGAAACGATATACGAGAGAGAGAATCGGTGCAACGTAATAGTTCTTTGCGTTTGCATGCGATGCTATCTTGTCGAGTGCTATCTTGTGAAGAATTCTAGTATGGCCTAAATTCAGAACTGCTTTTCTTCCCTTCAGCCCAGGCGCACAGTAAACGACTATTACTATGCATAAAAACTAAAAACCGAATGAAACAGTCGCATCCAGTCCTCAGTTTTTCTCTATATTGGAAATTTCTGGAAAGAACCATGTTTTTTTACGAGTGTCCTACAATGTGTGCCAGACATGTTGTTAGTCAGTCATGTGTGCTACATGTGTGTAGCCTGAGGGTAAAGTAGGCAAGAGACGGTTAACTACAAACAAAGACATTTACTTCGATCTCAGTTAACTCGTCGCCCAAAGGAATAAAGTCTACGGACTGTCATTTCATAATACAAACTTTGGAATGTCAAGAACATAACCCACTTGCTTGAGTAACTGCTTTTTTTGGCGTATCTTATTACCTGGATGTCTAACCTTCACCGACGTATCAAGAAATTATTGAGAGAATTTAAGAAGTGTATGAAATGGAGCAGTTAGAGATGAAATTAGATAAAAAGCCATATTTCTGTCTATTGAGTCAAAATTATGTAGTCATTTGATATTTCTTCCCTGTTATCCTACTTTTGAAATATTTGGTTCTCGATTCTTTCTTAATATAATTTAACTCATGGTGATGAAATGATGTCTTCCCTCTGGTTTACTCCAGTGCAGTGCCCCCCCCCCCCTTCCAAGAACGCTGACCTCCAGAGGTCACACAACAGGACCAATCAGTCGGTGCCTTTGTTAACACAATCACCTATCATTACCAATCATCGCTCTCCAACAATACAGACGTGCCTCCGGCGATCGGAGAGGAAATTATGCAGAAAGAGTCCTCGTCTCTTCACGTGTTTGAAATACTTCTGGAGTCGCGGGCATAAAACGAGCCAGACAACAAGGAACAGTCCTTTCAAACACGCTCCATAAATTTCATTTGAAAACTGCCTTCGGCTGAAAGTGTTTAGACCTTGTCCTTCAAAAGCGTCCTTTTTAAACGACATGTTGCAATCGCCAAGGACGAAGGACACTTAACGAAGCTTATTGTACAATAAATACACGCAGTAAAACTGTAATTTACATTGTTTACCTGTTTATTCTTACCTTCATGAACTTCTTCGCAATTTTATGGTGATCCGCTGGTAACGATTGGCCATTGTGAAATATAAGTTTGAAATATAATAACAAACTTTTAAAACATTAGTTACAAAGCTAGCACCAGCAACTGTGTATACTGTTAAGAAATGAAGCCATTTTTTTCTTATTTGTTGTTCCAATTCCTCACTGTGTCAATCTACAGGTCTTACTAGTATTTAAAAGGCAAAAATGCACAGACCACAAGACATAAGCGCCACCTATCGATTTACTTGAAAACATAACAATTTACGAAATCGGACAAAATAGACTTAAAATGTTTGCCATGCAGCGGGTCCTTTTTATCTTTTAATATACCTAAAAATGCTATATGGATTCTTGAATAATCATTTTTAAAAATCATACAGCTCATTCAATAATGCGTGACCAGCAATTTCTGTTCAACAACCTATGTGTGACCTTGGTGTGACTGCAAGGCTGTTTTCCCTGCAGTTTTTAGCGGTACCGGTAGATGGCAGACAGTAACAGGTGTAGCTTGCGATGAAACGTTGACGCTGGTGTTTATGCCACTTTTATATTTCGCACATCTGTAAGGTAATCTAAGTGTGTGTAAGGTAAAGCATGTGCATATTGCAGTATGCAAGATTGACCATTACATTCACAAACAGAAATGTATCATAATTGTAGGTTTATTAACGTTTTTTGCATCCTATTTTTGCAAAAGCAATTTTTGGCATGTGCCTTACTTAGCAGTGCAATTTCTCTAGTTATTCACCGTGGCGAGTAAAAAGACTGAATACAAACTCTTGTCAGATTTGGGACCACATCCTTAACCCTGCAGCGCCACCTAGCGTCAGTGTGAAGTAGTACCAGTCAACATTGCCATGAAGAGGGTGGTCGACTTTCCACCGAAATGTTAAAGGCATTCAATGCAGTTTTTAGGGCCTGGAAACCCAACATTTCAAAGTCTATATTCTAGTTATTTATCTACATACTGAGTCGAAGCCACACTGTCCCAATGTCCTCATGGAGCAAAAATTCCCAAAATTCTCACGAAAAATGGTTACTGGAAGAGCCCTGGACTGATTTTTAGAAAATAAAGGACTCATCTTGTTTCTGCAGTTTTAAAAGTCCAAAGTATGAAATACTGACTCAAATGTGCTAATGTGAAGCAGTATGTGTCAATACCACAAAGATTGCCTTATTTAGAGTTCCAGATTTGCTGCTCTGAAATCGCATTGGATGCCTTTAAACTATTCACTGATGTAGCATTGGGAAAATTGAATGAATGAATGATTGATAGACAAACTAGCTTACAGCAAAATCAAATCTAAGAAAAGGCTTCCATCAAACGGTCTAAGTGTCACTTGAGGTGCACCTCACGATGACGTCACGGTGTTCAGGATATTCCTTGATCAGATCTTCTCTTTTCCCCAGGCTGAAGTCTTTAAAGTCGAAACCTTGCAAGGAATAAGAAAAGAAGAGAGGGGTGCATGTCAATTAAATTCTAGAGCTGTGAAGGAATTAAAATAGGGCAGTACATATTTCGTAGATGTACAAAACTGTAGCAAGTAAAATAATGAAACTATTATCATATCTTCGGTTGAAATATTGTAAGGAACCGTAGTAAGGTGCATATCTGTAAAAAAAAATGTCAATCATTTGTTTAAAAAAAGCCAGAGATGATGTTGATCAAAACGCATCTTCTGTTGTCTCCAAGTTATCATATAGTCCTATGCCTTTCACAAATCACTGATCTAAATACATGTATAGACGTGACAAGCACGTTGCCAGAACGTACTGCACCTGCGCGAAACCCGTAATGTATTGTGCATAGCGCTTTGGCAGAACGTCTCATATAAGGTCGTATTTGCGCATATAAGGTTAACATTCCTGTAGTTTCCAAATGTTCTGTCAGAAAAAACTATCGTTTGCAACAGGCAAAATTCTGATGCGACATTGACCAAAAATCCAACGAAAATCGTGAAAAAAGGTCGTTTCGCGCATGTGCAGTACGTTCTGCCGACGTGCTGACGTGGCAACTTTAAAATTTCTTCTCATGATTTTACATCCGGGTTCTTACCTGGCGCCACCAGGACGGAAGCGAGGCAGTACCCATCAACCTCCTGGGCGAACCACACCCTGCGCGGAACCACCACCTGATGACGCGCTTCCGGGTGTTCCAGGGGGTTACCCAGAATGCTGCAGCTGTACGAGCCATCCGGATGAAGCATGTGAATCTAAACAGGACCACATTGTAAGTAACAGTGCACTGTGAACTATGTAACACTTTTAGTGCACTATGGACCAAGTAACATCTAGCTAGCGTCAGTGCACAGTAAACCAGTCAGTATTGCCCTGATGAAGATGACAGACGGTCATCGAAACGTCGGCTCGTGAAAAATAAATGGTTGTGATCAAAGAACTTTGCTATTCATTCGTTTACCAAACTGATGAAATCATTTACGGAGGACCAAACAAGGTTTTCCTTTCAGTCAAAATTGACAGATTTTCGTCAATTCAACGTACGTTGGAAAATTCATATCTGAATCACTACAAAAGCGACGCCATATTGTAAATGTAGTTCATGTATCTACCCCTGTTGTTTCTTCTTTGCCATACATTGTACAATGTACCAGTTGTTGAGCAATAAAGTTGATTTGATTTATTTCTATTTTTCTCGTCAATGTTGATGGTCAACAATCAAAGCAGAGGTTGGTGGGGGAAGATCTAATACAAAAGGTCCACTGCAGCGACATAGGGACCCCCCACGAGGCCCATTTTCGAACTTGACCTTGGCGTCTACAGTGGTAGCTTATCTACCAAAAATCATGAACATCTATTTGAATATACTTGAGTTATTTTGCTAACAAGCCACAAACACAAAAGGTGCACTAACGTGACGTACGGACCCCCCATGAAGCCCAAACTTTTACTTGACTTTGGCCTTAACAACGGTAATCTGCCTGCCAAAAACCTTGGACGTCCAGTTATGCCTTCAAGATTTATTTTGCTAAATCCGTAGTCACCCACAATACGGCGAGACAATTCCATAGTCTTTCTGACGAAGACAAATAGTGATACTGCTCTTCCCTTCGTATTTTGTGTATTTCACATACAATACTACAGATACCCCAAAAAGGTCTGAGCTTAAACGAATAATTCATCATAGATAGATAATTTTTCTTCAAATTCCAAAGCCTACAGTAGTTTAAAGGATTGTCATGTTTAGTCTTCGTTACCTTCATGCAGCCGCCAAGATTGTGAACAAACGTTTCGTCAGACTTGACTCGGTGGAAGGGGTCGGGCTCTCCGGCTTGCATGAGGTAGTAAATCATTGTGAGGACGGAGCGCTTTCCATCAAATCCTTCCGCCGCAGCCTCCACCTGTAATATGCATCACTATGAATCACTATATGTATAAGAAAATAAAGTTATAACCCTCTGGAAATAAAAGAGGACAGAAAACAGACACCATAGCAGTTGAATCTACTAATTTTTTTGTTGACTGGGCTGTGGGTTTGTGTTTGTCGTGACAAGAACCCGAAAATGCGACGCCAAAATTAGACGTCAAAACCAACATTCTGGTGGCGGCGGCGGCCCGCGCAGCCTTCCCGCGCCCAGATGTTGAAGGAGGTGTTCGAAAAAGAAGACCATAGAACAGGGCTTACAGAGTTGGAATCGTGTATATATAGGCCCAATTTACACACATCATTTCTAAGTCGACTCGGCGACGTCGACTTGAAAAATGTCTATTTGCACACAGCGCCGCAAATCACTCACGCTGTGCCATGTCTACCCCCCCCCTCCAGGTCGACTTGACCCCTCACCTACTACGCAGAGAGGCTCAAGTCGACTTCGTCCCCCGTTTACACAGGCGAAGCTAGCTGACCCCGCTGGCCGACTTAAGAAGTCTTCTTGATTAAAATGCGATTTGAGTTTAGTTGTAATCATTTTGTCTTTACACAAGGAAATGTTCGCTCAAGTCGACAAGCTCAAGTCGTCTTGAGTTTGCTGTTATGTGTAAAGCAGGCCTATAGAAGCCTACCCTGGAAGCCAGAACTCGTTTTCCGGGCCGCTGGTGTAAATTACCGCTACGGGGAGTCTACCTCGGGGGGAGTTTGGCTCGGGCGAAGGGCTCTCGGCTGCCAAAGGAAAAAGGCTAACGGCCCGATACTAGTTTTGGCATCCAGGGTAATAGAAGCCCTACCTGGACGTCAGAGCGGTAAGTCTCCCTGAACCAGCCGCCGGACGCAGGGTGGGGGGTCAGCTCATACAGGGCTATCAACTTCTTAACATCTTCGCTGTTCAAAAATGCATAATGAATTCTCATTGGCAATTATGATTAAAAATTTAATAAAACAATAAATTCTCATTGCCAACCATTTCATTAATGATAACAACAGTATTGATATGATATAATGATCATAAGTATAATGATTACAGTATTGATAACAATACTACTACTAATAATGATAAACATAAAATGATAATAAAAATGATACCCCAATGGCGCATTCGACATCAAGAACCAATTGTTTTTCACAAAAAAGCTAGTAGTTCTATTTACAGTAGATTCATATTCAGACAATAAAAAATAGTTTCAAGTCTTTAAAGCATCAAGATACTGAAGCATCAAGGAGTTCAGACTTTTAACCTCCTCATGGTATCATGGCAATGGTCTCTTGTAATTTAGGCTCCAAGCTCAAACTGACTGGAAAGAAATTGTTGACTTTTTGAAATGTGACTATCAAGATCTAAATAAAATGCATAACACATTATTTTTACATGATAAATAAGTCAACTTCACGATTTTTTTAACAAGAAACGTGACAATGTAGCTTTGCAATCAGTGGAGGTTTAGTGCATGAGATTTGTGTTAAGAGTTTCGAAGTGCATGATTGTTTTTTTACTGATGATGCTTAAAATGGTTTAGCTACTAGTAAACGAACTTTCATGTCCATCCTCGTTCATTACGATGTGATGCATGGAATGTTACTAGTATAGGCTTTATTTTTATTCATCTTATTCATGTTCGACGCAAACAAGGCTCATTGGAGCCACTCAGATGTTTTGAGTTACTGTACAGCCAGTGTGGACAGGTGTTTGCTGACCTTAGACTTGAAAAGTTTAAGGTTTTATGGGAAACATTCACGTGGTAGCTTGTTCCATGGTAAGGTTGTTCTAAGAAAGAAGCTTTCAGTGTGGAACTTCCTCCTAAGTGGTGGTGAATGGAGGAAGAAAGGGTGATTTGTTTCAGTGGAAGTGGCAAGACGTGTCCTTGCTGAGAATGTTCGAAGTGGGGGCACTAGCGAGTTCCGCGGAGCATTTTCCGTGGAAATAGCGATAAAATAACCGGCCAGGCTTGCAACGTAACAAATAAGTCAGACCCTGTTTTATACTGACCTCATTGTGCTATCCGTAGTTGCCATCGTCGTTCGGATCTGAAAAAAAAACAAAGCCAGTCGTATCGGATATGAATGGTTTCGTATACGTACTCTAAATGTTTCCACGTTGTAACAAAGCAACTACTAGTTCTACGACGTTCGCCATCTTGTTGACCTTTGGTTTTTGAACTTTGCTACGTTATGCTGGCAGGTGCAATCTCAGATACTCTCGGTAGATGTCGCCTTAAACTGTGATCCGATACTACAAATTTGTTGATAATTCAACTTCAACTAAGAATCACGAAAAAAGAGGCACAAAAAACTATATTCGTGCAAAACATTATGGGGTCAGTTTTGGCCCATACGGTAAGATTCGTCGCAAGAATGGTCTTTTCAACTGTGTTTTACGCTTCGATGCACCTAGAGTTCATAGCTATTGTGTCGAATCTGGGTACACAATCACAGTACATGGGTTCAATGGCCGGGTGTGGTTAACGGTTAGACAGGTTAGACACAGCGTCTCAGATCTAATCTCATTTGCCAAAGCCCACTTGTGAGCATACCAAAAATATTACCAGTTTTCTTTAGTATATCTTATTTCTGACGATGTTTCTGTACATGTTTCTGTACCCAGTTCAATATGTAACAACAAGTCGCGATTCAATTGAAATACAGTGCTATTCGCAGTATTATTACAATAATCAATGCAATACAATACAAGTATTATTACAATAATCAATTGTTTCAAAAGTTGACTTCTTTCATACTTCACTGTAGTTCAAATTTTGTCACGATTTCTCACGCAATATCTATTTTAAGAAATACCGTACCCCTGATAATGATCGGCTACGATCATGTTTGGGTCAGTTATTCGGTTAATAACCGGGCGAGGCAATTTTTTTTATCTAGGGTACTAAAAGGGTATGATTATAATTATATTTTTGTTTTCCCTCTCATACTTATTACAGATTTGTCAAAATCGTCTTAAGTTATCTAACAGATATATCTTCTGAGACTTAAGTGTGTTTTGAAGTCTGAATGGCTGTTAAAAAAAGGTATGTTAACCGTCTTGATTTTATAATCCCCCTACTTTTATTCCTTTGTGTACTCGACCATGACTCACACAGTAGGTGTGTCAGGGTACTGACGCCATAGCGAGCCGTCTGCTATTTTTGACAGAAAGTGCTTGTAGAAAATGTACAAATAGGACGTGTTGTTTGGGACTCGTGCCATTTTACGCCTCAGATATATACTAGCACACGTCCTATCGCTGAGTGTACTGCTGCAGCTTGCTGAGTACTAGTATTGTGGCCCCCAAAGCGGGCAGACAGATCTATCCATGGGAGACTGTGATTTTGGCGGAGGGGGGTGTGACAGTGGCGGAGGGGGGTGTGACAGTGGCGGAGGGGGCTGTGACAGTGGCGGAGGGGGCTTTGACAGTGGCGGTGGTGGTGGTGGGAGTTGTGACAGTGGCGGAGGGGGATTTGATTTTGGTGGGTGGAGTTCCAGTGGCGGAAGGTCCAGGACGAACAGAACCAGAGGAGGGAGCAATGGACGTGGGTTGATTCAAACCCACCCCATTGCAGGCACTATATTACTTGTTATAGCATTTCTTCTGAGTCCGTGTCCGATTATATTTGGCGTTCTAATAAGCAAAAATCCGTTGGTATTTGGTATCCTGTTAGGCCTAAATTTGTTACTTCTTATTCTACTCCCCTACCTGATATGTTTTAAAAAGAACAACCGGCGGAACAAGCAAGCACAGGTATGGGATTCAAGTATTTTTTTTCTACTCCTTATTGTTCTTGTTCTGCCATTTGATTTTATATATAATCGGCTCTGTCCTTTGAAGTGTTAATGGGGTTGTGGTTGTGACAGTGGAAGGTGGTGGTGGTGGAGGGGGTTTTGATAGTGGCGGGTTTTGATACTGTGTTTGTTCCTGATTATTCTACTCTCCTACCTGGTATGTTACTGTCAAAAACAGGAAACGATTAAAAAGAACAACCGGCTGAACAAACAAACACAGATATGGGATTTAAATATTTTGTTTCTTTAGAGTGCTAAATCTTATATTATAAAGCCTTACACAAATATTCAATATGTTTTAACTAGATTTTATCAAAAGGTTCTAATAACCGTCTTAGTTCTTGCATTCTCGAATTAAATTTTTTTCTTTTTATTTTCATTTTAGGACCAGAATACCCCTTCTGAGACTAAGACTACCGGCAAGATCGCAACCATTTCATCCGGGACAACACCACCACTCGACGGGCAACCACCCCCTCCGGGACAAGATCCACCTGCGGGATCACAACCACCCCCTCCGGGACAATATCCACCAACGGGATCACAACCACCTCCTCCGGGACTGCCATATCCACCAACGGGATCACAACCACCTCCTCCAGGACTGCCATATCCACCAACGGGATCACAACCACCTCCTCCGGGACTGCCATATCCACCAACGGGATCACAACCACCTCCTCCGGGACTGCCATATCCACCAACGGGATCACAACCACCTCCTCCGGGACTGCCATATCCACCAACGGGATTACAACCACCCCTTCCGGGATCCATCCTACCAACCGGCGTTACCTGTTATGATATGCCTTGATATCAATTTCTTCGGGGACTTAACCCCTTCCTGAACATCTCCGAGCGGACAGACAACCACCCCCTCCGGAAGAACCAATGACGGGATCACAACCATCCCCTCCAGGACAAGATCCACCTGCGGGATCACAACCACCTCCTCCGGGATTCATCCTACCAACCGGCGTTACTTGTAATGATATGCCTCGATCAAGGACGGGGATCCAGCATATTGAATTATAAATTAAGCCCCGAAATTAATTCTATGTGCTGTAAAACCACACGATACTTGTTATTATAATTCTTACAGTATTTTGTCAAGCAGAACAGCAAATTAGCAACAGTTCAGTTAGCTACAGGTGAGTCACTTGACTTGTCGAAACGACATTGCCATTGGTATGCGTTTACAACTTCACATGTATACTAGCATTGATATTCATTTAGATATATTGATTTAAATACATAAACATAACCATCAAAAACAACAAGACCTAGGTGTATATTTGTGCATTGACGCTAAAGACTTGCAGTTGATAAAGAGTTTTGAAATTTCCTGGTACATCGTTGAATATTCATTAACATTTTATGCAATTTATTATGGAATGCTTCTTACTTTTTACTTTGCTGTTATAATATCAACTTTAATTGGTAGCTACAAAGGAGGATACAAAAAAATACAAGTTAATCACATATGAATATAGATACAAATATCAGAGTGCTGTTGCTTGCTTATAAGAAAGTTATTGTACTCACCATGATATTGAATCAGAACATAAGAAATCAGCAAACGTGTCGCTGGCTACTTAATCTTGGATTAAATACATGCTCCAGATGTCATAGGTGTTTTAAATCTTTAAGCAATAGAACCGGATCATAAACTATATAAGTCAGTATGTGAAAATATACAAAATTACATACATTCAAAATTGAATCATTTTTCCTGTCTTTATTTAACAAGAAAAAATATAGTGATAAATGATGATGTGCTACTGTCGTTTTGTTTGGAAATCCGGACAAAAACGGCAGCACTTGGAGAATATAAGAGAAGCAAAAAGAAAGATATTTACCATGAGAATCATTACGCAATTTTCTTAGCCTACTTTGCAGACGTTCAGGGATCGGTCGTTTTATTTATTTATTCATTTTGTTTTTTTTTTGGGGGGGGGGGCTCTAATCAAACGAAGATTGCACGCAATAGAATAAGGGATAGCTATGTAGGGTTTGCGGCCGGAGCTTCTATTGCGTGCGATCTACGTTTGGTCAGAGAACACCCCCCTCAAAAAAAGACCGATCCCGGAATGTCTGTAAAAGAGGCTACAATTTTGTGTGGGTTTGGATGTATGTTTGCCCGTGGGGAGACGGACAAAAGGGTAGACATAGCAATGGGGGTGAATATAAGGGTCCCAGAATCTGACCAGGAGGACCTAGAGGTAGACAAATGGTGGAATTCTGGAAAGTAAGAATTGTATGATCTGTATCTGTACCTCTGTCGGTATAGCACCCCTTCGGCGTAAAACAGCCGCTTCGGAAAGTCATGATAGAACCTGTAACCCTTTACAGTCTTTACAACAAAAATACATTACAGATATTTGTACCTTGTACTATTCAACTTTAAAGTAAAAAAACAAAAGTAACTGTGAGGCATTGACCGATAATAACCGGGCATTATTCATTATTCGAATATTGTAACTTGAATTTAGAAAACCATGAATTGAACTAGATTATGCTAATTACGACCTTATTTCCATAATCAATGAGACAAAAAAAAACATTTACAAAAACTCATATATTTCATGGAGGTATGAGATCTCAGAATTCTTGTTGAAGCTTGTACTATTCTCTTCCAAAGTAAAAATCAAAAGTAACTGTCAGCCATTGACCGATAATAACCGGGCATTATTCATTATTCAAATATTTGACCTACAGAACGTCTCAGCATTGAACAAAGGGATGGAAATTTCCATTGCTACGGGCGAACATCAATGTTCAATGCATGTAATGGAGTGTGCTATACATCGACCTATAGCTCAAATGACGTTTCAAACTATAAATGTATAAAACATTATGTACGTATTGTAGAATAAAACGATCCCTAAAGTGTTCGGCAATATTCATACAACATTCCAACAACATTCGTACGCAACAGTTTCACAAGTAGATCTATTGTATGGCACCCCATTGAATTTTAATAATGTATCGTCCTCGATTTTGGCAACACTCAATTTTAATCATGCATCTTCTTTATTCATATCTACATTATCTCTTCATAGCTGTATACTAATTTCAAATATATACGAAAGGGTTACAGAGTCGTTTAAAGTTTAAATTTAGAGGTCATAGCGTCCACTCTGCGTACACAATCATAGTGGGTTCATTGACCGCGTTTATGTGTGGTTAGACAGGTTGGGCACAGCGTCTCATGTTTAATTTATTCACCACACTACGCTCGAAAACATTTCAAAAAGAATAAACACTAAAGAAACAATTTCTCTTGTATACATGTATTCGCGTATAACCAGATTGATATGTAACGAATTGAAAGAGCTGGCCAGTTGGGTTATGATTGAATATATGAATTTTAAG